CTAGTACTAGTTAGTATTTTGTACTTAGTATTATGGCTGCATGATATTGGAAAAAAAAAATCAAGCTTGGTGTCTACTACAAATGTTGCAATATCAATTGCAAGTTCAAAATAAATCAATTTCTCACAAACATGTCCATGAGTGATTTAAACAGCAAGGATGCAAATGATTATTGGCTCATAAAGCACATGCAGAGCTCATGCAAATATTGGAGAGGTAAACTTTAAAACAAATTTTAAACATACACTACATAATCTTGATAAGGAACGAACATTAAAATTGCAAATCTTGCTAAATTTTATTTCCTAATGTTTGAACGAAACATCATAAATAAATACATTTTTTCACCAAGATTTTTAAATAACAGAACTATACTGAAAAATAACATTCCTTATATATATATACCTTATACCGTGGTATTATGTCCGTATAGTATGAAGGTATGCAAAAGCCTGATCTCAGCCCAGCTGCGTTGTCAGAGATGCATGTGCATAACTTGAGAAATCAATATTAATATCACACATCACCCAGCCCTACTTAGTACTTTTTGTATTGTAACATTACACTGTCCTGTTAATTGTCTGCAGTCTGTGGAGAAGGCATTCGAGTAAGAATTTCATCTTACTTTGTACACTGTATTTGGTACATATGACACTGCTTTCTTAGCTCAGATTGAACTGGGACGCAGAAGAAACTTAAACTGCCATTACATTTAGTGCTTCAGAAGCAAACTACAGACGCGCCTCTACTTACGCACTTTCAACTTAAGAACTTTTAGACATATGGACAATGAGGACTGTAAGTCCAAATTGTGTTCATTGGGCTCCCGTTTCCTGTCCGCAACATATTTATTTATTTTTTCTGCGTGCCAATTCCGCCTAGTACAACTTCTGGCCGCTACTCCCACCGCACAACAGTGTAGCGTCCGTACTCCCATCTTAAACGTCTTAATGTAATGTCCTTGGTGATGCTATGATTGCTTCTTTTCTTGTATAGTTGTTGGTTGGATATTTTGTTGGGCCAAAAGATCTGGCAGATTCGTCTGAGGCATCTGTTGTGGAAGACCTCAAGTCTCCTCATGTCTGTACTGACGACACGCCAACACTCTGAACCATACAGGAGGACAGACTTTACATTGCTGTTTACAGGAGCATCTTTGTTTTCAGGCTGTATTGTTTAGACCTCCAGATGGAACGGAGTTGGGAAAAGGCACCCTGAGCTTTTCCCAGCCTTGCTCTAATGTCTTTATGGACAGCGCTGTCCTTGCTGATAAGGTTGCCAAGGTAGGAGAAGTCCTCCACAAACTCGCGTGGTGCTCCATTCACCTGGATGGGTGCTGTAGAGCTGGAGTTGATGCACATCGCTTGGGTTTTGGAGGTGTTGATGTTAAGTCCGGCCTGTCTGGCATATTTGTTGAGCTTGTCAGTTTTCGATTGCATGTTGGAGTGGTTTGTTGAAAGGAGAGCAAGGTCGTCTGCAAAGTCAAGGTCTTAAAACTGAGAGGACAGAGTCCATTGGATGCCTCCGTGTTTGTCTGCTGTTGTGTTGGTTGTGATCCAGTCTATTGCAAGTAGGAAGAGGATGGGAGAGATGATGCACCCTTGTCTCACTCCAGACCGTACAGGGAACCATTCAGTGAAAGTGTTGCCCATAAGGACACTGCACTCAAATTTTTCATAGAAGATTTTTATGATTGTAATTATCTTAGGTGGGATTCCGTAGTACTGGAGTATCTTCCAAGGAGGGTTACGATGGACACTATCAAATGCCTTCTTGAAATTGACAAAGTTGATGTACAGGGGTGTGTTCCATTCTATGCACTGCTCTAGGATGTTTCACAGTGCAAAGGTCTGGTCTATACATCCTCTTCCTTTCCTGAAGCCTGCTCGTTCTTGTCTGAGCCTGGGGTCAATGGCTGGCTCCATTCTGTTAAGGAGGACTCTGCAGAACACTTTGCTTGGGATGGACAGAAGGCTGATTCCTCTCCAGTTGTCACAGTTTTTGGTGTAGTCTTTCTTTGGGATTTTGACTATGAGGTCTTTAGACCAGTCTTCAGGGATGGTATCATTGTTCCAGATGTTTTGTAAGAGATCAGTAAGGACTTTAGTTGATGTTAAAATGTCAGCCTTTAGCATCTCCGCATGAATTGCATCCAGGTCACATGCCTTGCCACTCTTTAGGGATAGGATGGCATTTTTGACCTCGGAAATGTCAGATCGGTTGATGACATCCAGGATGTAGTCTGTTGTTGTGATGTTGGCAGGTTGTTCTGGCTCAGGGTGATTGAGCACTTCCTGGAAATGATGGACCCATTTGGCTGCTTGCTCACGCTCTGATGAGCAAATGTTGCCATTCTTATCCCTAATGTGGGTGCTTTGGCTTGTGTGGTTTCCACAGAGTCATTTGGTGATCTTATATACCAGGGTTATTCAACTCACGGTCCTTGAGGTCCAAGCACTGCTGGTTTTCCAGCCTTCCTTTACCTGTCAGTCAGGTGTGAAGCCTCTGACCAATCAGAATCAGTAATTATTAAACAACTACCAGGGAGAACTGAAAACACGGCCTGGATTTGGAATCGAGGTCCAGAGTTGAAGAACCCTGTTATATACTGTCCCCAGATTCCCAAAGGCTGCGGCTTTCTCTCCTTCCTTTGCCAGGCTTTCTGCAAAGGTCCTCTTGTCTCTCCTTGCACTCCTTCTCCTTGTTTTTATAGGACAGCTTGGCTTTTTCAATGAGTCGGGACTTGAGGCTCAATAGCTTTGCTTTTAGCTGTTTTCTCAATTTTCTGCCATGTGTTAGCGGATATTTATTCTTTGGCTCCTCTCTGCTTATAGCCTAAGACTTTTTGTGCTGTTTCAGAGTATATGTTTTTGATGATGTTCCATTTGTGGTTTACAGAGGGCACTTCTGTTACCATCAGCTTGAGCTTGATGGTAGCAACGAGCAGGTAGTGGTCACTGTAGGCATCTGCACCTCGATATGCTCTCACATCTTGTAATGACCTGCGCACTTTCCATTGATTATGATGTGGTTAATCTGGTTGATGGTTTTTCCATCAGGTGACTTCCATGTGAGCTTCTGGATGTTCTTGTGTGGAAATATAGTTCCACCAATGACAAGGTTGTTCTTCAAACAGAAGTCAACAAGGCATTCGCCATTGTTGTTTCTTGTGCCATGTCCATGTGTGCCCATTGCCCTCTCATAGTTGGAATTGTCGGTTCCCACTTTGGCATTCATGTCGCCAGTTATCAGGAGCTGTTCATACCAGTCCTCTTTCACCTCCTTCTCAGCCTCATTTGTTGGTGCATAGCACTGCAAGATGGTGAGTTTGCAGAACAGCACTCTGATCAGCCTTTCACTTACTGGTTCCCACTCCAGCAAGGTTTTGCCTTCCTCTATGGAGATTATGATGGCTACTCCATGTCTATGGGCGCTCTCATGGCCTGAGTGGAGGATGATGGATGCATCTTGTAGAACTTGGCGTCCGGAGCCCTTCCAGTGACTTTCACTAATCCCCAGGATGTCCAGGTGGTATCTCTTCATTTCACTGAGGACTTGTGCTGTCTTGGAGGTCTCGAACATGGTTTGGACATTCCATGCTCCCAGGCAAATCTCAAAGAGTGGCGGAGAACTGCTATGGGCCTGATGTCGATGGATTTGCTCATTGTAGTTTCTGTAACGGTAGCTTTTCCTACAGGGTGGCGCTGTTAGTGCCACACCCAACCCCCAACCAGGAGGACCAGTGTGCTGTCTTTCGTCTGGCTACTCGCCTAAGACCAATCTGGTAAGGTTGGACCTGCTAGGAGCCAAAGGCTCCTCCCAGCATAGCTTTTAGGGTCTTTGAAGCACACAAGCCTCTCCACCACGGCAAGGTTACAGCACAAGGGGAGGTCTGAAAATATTCAGTTTTGATTATCTTCCAGTCGCTCATTCTTAAAAAAATCAGATGCTACTTTAATACTAAACCATATAAACCATATAAACCATATAAACCAGCCCTTAGTCTGAGAGGTGCTAAGGGCAATTGTTAGGTTAAGCTATGCTAAATGCTAAATGTGTGTGCTAGGCTGAGAGGTGTTGAGGGCTGCTGCTAAGTTAAGCTATGCTAAGGGGCCATGTTAGCCTGAGAGGAGCTAAGGCCAGCAGTTAGGTTAAGTTATGCTGAGAGGTTATGCTTATCCTAGTCATGCTAATCCTAGGCATGCTAAGGGACCCCTATGAAGTTCGAATCTACCACGCTCACTTGCATTGCCTACTACAAGTACAGCCAGAGGCGAAGGCAAATCAAAGGTCACCACCTGAGAAAAGCGGAATACTGTAGATCGCCGGAAAGCAGTGTTGAAAGCACTAAGCAAAGTCTCAAGTTCTCCCAAACATTAGACTGCTAATATCCCAGTGTAAAGAACTGGGACAGTCTGACTGCATGCATGGTACCGACCAAGCACTGCCCGATTATTTTTCTCTCTAGGGACATTTACTGAACGTTATAATTAAGGTATGGAAATGTTCAAAGTGTCCAGTTTTCCTGATATTCCCACGTTATCCCACTACTACTAGTGCAACTACAACTAAGAATGATAAGTTATGGACAAATAAAGGGCCTAGAAGAGCACTGGGAGCACTGGGAGCACTGGGAATTTGCCCTGCTAAGGTCACGGGCTTAAGGGTGGGCAGTGCATTTGCAGTAAAGACACATGCAGCATTTATGAAATAATGTTTTTTTTTATTATTATAAAACAGCAATTTTCAATATTAATTACGTTAAGAGGATGTTCAGGTAATAATGTTATTGTGCTAACATTGACAGAACCATTGGTAAACGTGAAAATAACGTTCCATTAACAAGACAAAAAGAACTCTGCCAACTTTGAGCAGATCCTTATATAACGCTGGCTAAAGTTCTAGGAATGTTCCCTGTTAGCTGGGTGGACACCTGGGGTACGAACTGCAGGAGGGGGCTGGTCACGGCACTGCCTGATGTAAGAGTCACTGCCACTCACCTCCATGCTGGTGGAGTTACACCGGTGAGTCCCAGCAAACCAGCCGCTGCTGGAGCACTGGTCGATGTCCACATCCTGAAGGCTGACGTCCACCCGGACCACACCCCTGCAACATAGTGCAGCAAATATTACTTTTCACATGCTTAAAATTCTATCCAGATAAAGCAGTCTATATTGATTTTTCAGACAGCTTTATTCCGAATACCATTTTTCACAAGCATTTGTCAAAGGGTTTCATATTAGCTTACAAATGACTTCTAGGTGACCTTAAATATTTATTTTAGAATCAGAATTCACTTTATTGTCTACTGTAGGTACAACTGCATGTTTTGGCAGTATTGGTGTTTACATTCACAAATAACATAGAAGAACAGCAACATAAATTAAGAAAAACAGATAAGATGGTTCTTAAAATATTAATATAGCTGAACTTTACAGAATCAGCACCTTAGACGTTCTAGCTACTTTAACCTATTCATCATGACTCTACCAGCCACCCGAGTTATGAAGCCCTTGATTTCCTGCTCATGTGTATAGGTGGAAACAGAGTAAAAATATGGACTGGCTCAGGCAGGAACACAGAGAGAGAGCCACTGTTTGGATGAAAGTAGCCAGTGATTGACAGCGTTCACTAGTCCCTCCCACCGTGAAATTTGAAATATCATTTCATTTCTGCTCTGCTCTGCATGAGTCTGCAAGTACACTGCTGTTACCAGTGGACACAGCACTGCTTCGGCTATGCCCTGAAAACAGCTTCACAGATCTTCAGCTGACACGTGCATGTCAATCCATACATCAGATATGAATTTAAAAATATAACTGCTGTCTCTAAAACACCTGTAAGGTGTCTATTTGTGCCCTGTAATGGCAAGGCATGATGAAGAAGGGACTTCCCATGTAATGGCTCTCAATAAGGTTCTAACAAAACAAACAGCAAGGGAGAACCAGAAGACAAAGGGGCCCCGAGGGGTCAAAACAAGGCTGATAAAACAGAAACTAAGGAAACTAAGCGATACCGGCAACAACAATACTAAAGGCAGAGAGGAACACAGGAAACTACAATAACTAACGCAGGGTAACTACAACTAAGAATCACAACACAGGAAAGAGCCACAATGAACCACCAAGGAACACAACAAGAACAGGCATGCAGGACAGGTGAGAACCTTAAACAAATCAACCAATCATTAAGGGCATGAGGCAACAAGGAACAGGTGGAGTAAGCTACAATTAACAAATTAAAACCAATTAGCTATTGACTAGGAAACATGAACAAACACTGAGGGCTATCAACACTAGGAGAAATCAAGGAACACAAGTAAAACAGAACATAGAGAAGGCACGTGCTGGTTAACCATAAACAAGACATAAATTAGCCATACAGACACCATGGGATAAAGTAAAACCAAAATGTAACAACCAAAAGGAAATACTCTAGAGAACAGCAAATGGGATGGGCCAACCAGAGAACAGATACATGGGACAGGGTCAGATGGACACCGACCCCCTGACAGTGCCCTGTGATGGACTGGCATCCCATCAAGGGTGTACCCTTATATTGTGCTACCAGGGATAGGCTTCAGCACCCCCCCCCCACACACTCTTGTAGGCACCCAGTTGGCAGATAGTTACACATTTTTTATGTGTCCAAAAATACCTTAAATGATACCTTGCATTTTCCCCTGGGGCTTTACAAACACCTTGTTTGGAATCCCCTGTTAAATTTCATTAAGTCACATGATGTTTAAAAAGAACATTAAAAATATATGCGGCACACACTCACAGCCAGTCGATATGAAACTGCACTGGTGCTGTCCAGACTGCCTACTCTGCACCTCTGCCTTGCTGGAATTTTGAAAACAATGCAAGCCTTCACAGGGGTGCCACTAGAGATTTTGGAGTTCTTGAAAGAATATCATATTGGGCCCTCAAACCAGCCCAATCCAATTATGCTTCAGTTTTGTTAGAGCCCGTCATTGTTCTAAAATTCCCCCCTTTACCACACTCCAACACAGAGAGGACAAGTAATCAGAAAGAGGCCACTTCTTTATTTGTTTAGTGATACTTTATTAATCCCCGAGGGGAAATTCTCTTTCCATCTTCTCCACCTTGCTCTCCATGACACACACAGGCACATATAGAGGTAGGCACCCCTGGATTTGAGGGTTAAGGACCTTGCACAGGGATCCAATGGCAGAATCGGTCTGCTAACCCAGGCACTTAAACTCACAACATTCCGAATGCCACCCACTGAGCCACTTACGGCCCCGCAGAAAAGCTCCTTTTCTTTCTTATGTGAATCCAAAACTGAGCACAAAGAAACAACGTGGGAAGACAGGCTCATATACAGCAGAGAAGTTTCGTTCACACCTCCTGTACGCCTTCAGAGCGAGCGAGGAGCCCGGCGTCTTCCGTTCGTGATTCCACTGGTGTGAGAGGCCTCCTGCTGTCTGCCGTTAGGCGGCTGCCAAGCTGGCCTGCTCTGCCAGCCGGAGAGGAACTCCGAGAAACTCCCAATATGTCCATGGAACGTCCGAGCATCTGCTCGAAGCGGATCGCCCGCGTGGCGAGAGAAATTTGCCTGCTCATTGGAGCGGCTCCTTCCATCCTGGCGTGGGGGGGGGAGCACCAGAACAACACCTTTCTTTTTTTAACCTCACACCCCCCTGCATGATCTTTCAGTTTCCTGTTGCTCCAGTGAAAAGCCAGTCCATTTTAATTATTTAAAGCAACATACATTTTTTTGAGAAAGAAGAGTCAGTCAGTCCCTGGAGCAATTGGAGGTTAAAAGCCTCCTTTAAGGGCCCAACGACGAAATCACTCAACCGACCTTGGGATTTCAACCTACAACATCTACATCAGGGGCACGATGGCTCAACCCAATGAGCCACACACCACCACCCCAGAGAATCCATGCTTTGCATCCTGTGTATATTAACAACATGTTACGTCCAACCCCCGACTCAGCTAAACATGGCGACAAGCTGGATTGATTTAATCCTGTGAGACAGATAGGCTAACAGAGAGATTAAATAATAATAGTAATGCCAATCACAGACCATCTGTTCCCTAATGCAATTTGCCTTCTGGGATGTAATCACATAATGTCCTTAGATCGAGCCCCTGTAATCCCAGTCAGGGATCTACCAGAAAATATCACACAAGCAGCCGCCTGTATTTATGACACATTTGATCCGAAACGTACAGGCAGAGTTATGCAGGTAATTAGGAGATGGCTATACATGTGTGCATCTCCATCTGACCCTGTAAGATGTAGCCTGTAACTGTGTAGGTTGACTTAGAGTTAATAAAAAATTATATATTCCATAAAAACAACAGTATTGCTTAGGGAACAGTACAGGATGCTGCATGACCTTGGTATCAGTTTAGGGAGTATCCCACCAGTGGCAGGTTAAATGAAATAACATTCCAACTGCACTTTTACACACTTCATTTTGGACATTTCATGATAGGATTTCTGCAGATTAATGCGGTCAACCCAGTCTAAAAATAATAATCTATTCCAGGGAAAACTTCAAGTACCTTAGCATCTCAGACTAGACGTTCCTGGCTCATCACACACCTGGTATATCCTGAATTTGTTCAATAGGCAAATTTAAAAATAAAAGATGGTTTACAAAAATAGCCAGATGTGTTAAATGTGTTGGCTTTAAATTAAGCCGGTGGTCCCAATGGAGCGTACACAAACATAAAAAAATCAAAAACAAAAAAAAAAACAAGTGTGTGAAGTTATTACTTTAAAAATGCACTGTTCTGCGATGACCCTTGACGTTCTGATTGGTCACACTGGTAACATGGATTGGACCCCAGGCAAGCGGTGAAATCCCAGTTAGCCCAAACACAGCCCTGCTCCCATCACAAAAACACACTGATTCATGGTTCCTTTCCCAGACATCCCTGGAAATGATGAAGGAAATCCTCATCAGCTCAGCTGGACATCTGGATCCTTCACACGCCACTCGCCTCTCATTAGACAGGCACATTCTGAGACGACCCCAGGGTCCTCGGCCAACAGCAGGGCGAGCAGCAGTGCAAGATGTGATTCCATCTTGCGCTTCTGGAAGTGAACTTAGCTTTGACTTTGCAAAGGGAACAAGTTACTTCTGCCACAGGAAACTCCCAGATTATGGACAATTAATCTTGAATTTAATCTCTTTTACTTTCCTTTTTCTCTTTGAGGTTCACCCGTCTTAAACAGGTGTTGCGCAGCACCTGCTCTCTCTAGACAACAGCCGGAAAGATTAATTACAGAGCGTTTCAGCTGAAACTGCAAGCAATGACCCTCCCATAGACACGAAAAGCTGTAAGCAAATGTTGAAATACAAACTCAATACACATGCTTCTTTTCCTTCAGAAATGTATTTTGGCGGGTGACTCGTGTTCCTGAACAAGGTCTGCCATTAACTATAAGCCGCCGTTCAAAACAAACCTCATTTCCTGTCCAGTTCATACTTAGATTAGTGGAAACAGGAAATAGATGCTTTATTTCTGTGCAAAAGCTGTTCTTTCATCACACTTTCCCTTCAGAAATGTGCCAGCCTTCATCCTCAGCCCACCAGACCCCCCCACCACCACCACTCACAGAGGGGGTTAAAACCAGTATAGGTATCATGTCTTACTCTTCATACACAGCAATTCAGCACATGTCCGTTCCATTTTCTTTCTGTCTCTTTTTTAATAACAAGGTGAAAATAGATCAATATCACAGGTATATAGCACCTTGTGTGGTTTATTTTATCACCTATTTTTGAAGTTTCAGTTTTAGCGGGAACCCCTCGACTTATCCTGTTAATGCAGCAATTTTTTTTCTGACCATCATCTGATACTTGGAAATGAAGCTTAATTGCTGTTTAAGATGCCCACACCTCACTAAATTATACAGGGATGACGACAAGGAGTATAGAAAATACTCATCACTACGCCTACAGATGGTGTGAGTGCGAATTTAGTTAACTTGCATTTCTGAAAACTATGAAGAAATTCACCAATCAGAACTGCTGAGTGTTGAGAATGACTTTTTATAGTATTATGGGATTTAAATCAGGCTACTAATGATATTTAAAGAAGTAATGATGTTCTTAATTAAAGCCTAATAAATCAGAGAATGGGGAACCGCATTCATAGGTTTCATGTAGTTACAGTATGAGGAGGGCACTTCATCCATCCATCCATCCATCTATCCATCCATCCATCCATCTCTAACCACTTATGCTGGTCAGAGACACTGGCCCATACATGCATGTCATTTTAATATCTTAAAAAAAGAGTTGGTACCAGATCTCTGTATACGTTAGGTACCAGTGGATGTTACCATGTACATCATGCATTTTTGGAAGATTATGAAATGTCAAGGGTTCGGCACCGTCTGCTGAAATTGCGGGTATATGCAATTGATTAAGTCACGGTGAAGCATATTTAGACTAAAATTCATGTGACGCTGGATCTGTCTCCATGAGAAACACATTTCCTGTTATCTTTAAGATACAGTGTGCAGGGGAGCCTATCAATCAAAATGAAGTGACACCCCGCCCTCACCAGAAACCAGAAGCATGGAGGCTTATGCTTATTCATCTTTATGGTGATTTCATAGCCAATCGGAAAAAATCGGATCGACATCCATTGTGAAGATTTCATAAGACTGTCCAGATATAAATTGGATGGCGGGGGGTTTTCAGAATCACATATGATGGAACAATGCCAACTGCTTATACAGTGGAGAAATCCGTGTAATCCAGTCCACTCTGTTGTCATTGATCTTGCGTGTTGGTGTCTCGATGATGCGCTGTACAAAGGAGACTGATGAGCTAACTGCTAACTGATCAGGGGGAAGGTTGTTTAGAACAACAAAAGGGAACTTTCACTTTCAACAAGTTTCCTCCATCAAAACACAGCATCAACAGATAATATCTCCTGTGATCAGTTTTCAACTAGATGCATTAATTGCAACAATACCATAGTAACCACGCATATTTTAATGACCCATTAGAGAACCTCCCAGCACCTTTATCTGTTACGCTGATTCACTTGTGTTAAGAGATACCAACACATTAAAACATATACTAATTATTATGAAATGGCGTGGGGTTTCTTTCACTGCTGTGAAATAACAGCTATTTTTAGTCGCATGGCATGTACCTGCAGAGATCGCTGCCGGCTCACTATCAGTACAGTGACTTCCATGGCAATAACGACCGCTGTCGTTTGGGGCATCTGAGGCAACCTTATTCTGTCTCACAGAGGAAAGAAATACTCAAGCATGTGATGCGAAATATCCCCACAGGCCTACCCAAGTATCCTGGATACAAAGCTATTTGCTTTATTCCTCTTAGTCCTGCATTCTGCAACATATGAAGTCAATTGACCTTTGATATTATGTGGCTATATTTAGTTGTTACACCAATTGTCCATAAGCTGAAAAGAGTAACATTTTACTTGAGGTGCTCTAGCCTTTATGGATGTTGTGATGGTCACAGAAAACAATGGTCATGAAAGATAAGGCTTGAATACCCAGACAGGAAATGGAAGAAATGTTGAGGTACAAATTGCATGTGAAGGGCGACAATCTAGAGAGGCTGCAAGCCTTAGTTTACATGTTTAAACAGAGGTTCTGTAGATAATTCCCAGAAGTTCTCCCACATACCTGAATTCCGGAACCTGATTCTGTTTCAGACCATAGAAGCCAGCTGATAGGGTGAGGAGCCACTGAGGAATGAAAGTCCCTTTGTCACACTCAAGGAAAGGCGCTGACCACTTGATCTCAGTTTTATCAAGGACATAGCTGTCTCCTCTCAGAGATACATCAGGAGACTTTACTTCTTGGCTCAAGACCCTCCGGTGGAGGTGGTGTTTGCGTCTGTCTCGGATCTCACTGAACCACTCTGTTTCCACAGTCTTGTTTCTCAGGCGATGGTGGGCCGTGGACGAGAGGTCTTGGAGAACAATGCCACTCTCTGTTCTGGTAGCCTGGAGGAAGATGTGGTGTCCCGGCAATGGCAAATCCTTGTTGAACGTGAGGACAACCCGCTGGATTTTGTGGTCCCCTTCCAGGATGCTGCGGACGAGCGCCCAGTACCACTCAGAGTCCCCCTGCAGGCTGTGTAGTCTTGACCTGTTGGCTTGCAGGATCACGTTCAAGAAGTTGGCGGCTTGTGCCACCGCGTCAAGCACACTGCGCAGGGACGAGTATGAACTAGTGTATGCTGGACCGCGGAGTCCGCTCAACTCATACCTTCTGGAACAGTTTGCATGCCTCAACGTCGACGGATCTCCTGTGTGAAGGAAAGCCATGACCACCTTGGGCAGGTCCTCCTCGATTTTCTGTAGGAAGGCGGATTGCTCCGTTCCAGGTTTAAACAGACGAGGCAAATGATGAAGCTGTTCTTGGCTGTTAATAGGAGTGTTATAGATAGGCTGCTTTGCTCTGATCTCAGACTCCCTCTCATGGTCCGACCATTTATCATGCCTATAATTCGATCCGATAACAAATCCCACTCGCAAGAGTAACGAAAGCAGATAAACAGCCATACCTCTTCCCGTCTGGATTGAATAGGATGTTTCAGTTTATACGCAGGAGCAAAGGGGTAAAATCTGGATTAATTAGCGCACCGGATCGCGTTCACCTGTGGATAAGTGAATCCAGACGTCTTTTCCCGTCGGCTCCTGAGTATATGGTAAAGATGGTCTCGGTTCCGCAGGTTAAAAAAACCCTTTTCCAGTTACAGAGCGGGTCGAGCTTGTTTACGTCTGTATATTATTATAGCGGGGGAAAATCATTTAGATCCGTACATGAAACTAGAGATCACTGCTCATTAGTTCCCTGATGCCATTCTTAGCTATAGGGATTGCTTGACATATAGCAGACCGACACCGGGCTTTTAAAAAAATCCGATTACTGGGATGTACAGAGTCTCAGCTCACACTTCAGCGACAAACACACTCCGCCCTCCTCTGCCCATAACATGCAGTAACTAAACCCAACGGGGAGAGGTAGGAGCCACTTGCTCCCAGAGCCCGTCTCCTTCATTATCTTATAGGGTTTCCTAAACTACCCATGGTTCGTGTATGGCCGCTTTTTCTGTCAATCACCGGAGCTGAGGGGGGGACGTTTGGTAGAGAGACCGAAGAGCTGTCCAGTGCTGAAAGCTGCGCGGGGAGGACGAGGGGGGATGCCGGCACCGCTGGACGGGGAAATGCGGTGATCGGGAGAAAGCATCGTGTCTGCAAAGCTCTTGAAGTCGAAATGTGACAAAAAAAAACACCCTCAGAGTTCGTATTTACCGACGCACTAAATAATGTCGGTGAAATGGGGAATACCGTTCAGATACAGATGAGGCAGCACAATCAAAGGAAAATACGGGAGGGTTTACAGAAATACAGCTGCCGACCAAACATTGTTTCTCAATCTGTCGATTCATAATTTAATTCAATGTTAACGCAAGAGGTAACGTGAACGTGTTTTAAAAATACAGGTAGGCAGAGATAAACGTTTACTTTAAATGTGTTACTATATAGAAGCTATTTCCCTTAGACAAATATGGTAATGCAAATCACTATAAATCAACCATTTCGACGTCTTTTTCAATCGGTGAGTGCAAGATCAATTTTTGAAACTCAATTCTGTTTTGTACACACACAAGTAAGATGTTGTTATTATGAATCACTGCCTCAGATCTTTTTTTGGTTGGATTAGAATTGCTGGCTTTAGGTAACTTATATTTCATATTACAGCAGCGTATGCAGCTACAGTAATTCACAGTGTGATTGATACCCTTGGAGAGAAGGTGTTTTATATTAATTTTGGGCTTATTTAAAAGCATCTGTAGTAAGGTTGGCATGCGGTCTTGGAGCTTCTGTTAACTAGGGCCGCTCACGCGCGCAGGGGGAGATTAATAGTCACTCACATCCTCCAAACAACAGCAGTCCTTGATCTAAACCATTTAATGGTGCCGTGAGATGCAGGAGAAGGTCACAAGGATGTTGGGTTTTGACCCTTTCTGTTGTGGTGGTAGGGTAGCACAAGCCATTTCCGGACAGAAGGTTGCGAGCTCAAATCCCAGAGGGGCAGATTATGTTCTCTTGCTCTTTCAGTAAATACCCACAGGTATAAACAAATAAACCATATTGTTTTAAGAATAGCTATTGCAAGTGGTTGTCATATGGTCCCCGCTAAGCACGTAATAATACAGATACATGCCCTTAATGGAATTCCTGAGCTTGCTGAGACTGATCTCAGAACAGCAACAGAAGATAGACACTAAAAATCTAAAAGGATTGGATGCCGCCGAACTGACCTGTCCAATAAAAACAGTCCCTTTCTGGTCATCTGATTGGCTGCAGGTCTAACAGCTGAGGAATTCAACCTGGGCATTGATCAATTGATTAAGGCAACAGTCTTCAACTGTGGGTGTAAACAAAAGGTAGTGAACAATCCCAAACCATGGAAACGTATATTTCAGAGCCAGTTTATGGGTTTATCACATGGGCTTGTAGCTGGAAGGTCCACAGTTCAGCAGCCAGATGGCACCATGTTGTATTGCCATCAAGTAGCATACTTAACCTGAATGGCTTCATGGCAGATCGACTTGAATTTCTGTATCAAAAATGTGTCCTCGGATTCATTATTTCCTGTAGTCTGACTCCCAGCATATTTAGTTGGCTCTGAGCCAATTTTCGACAAATTAAGTAACATATTCAAAATAGTGCATTTGTTTAAAAAGAAAAAAAAACAGAAAACATCTTTTGGTGGAACTGAAATAAATATAACTCATGGAAAATATCTTGATACCTAACAAGCTATGCTGGCTTGCATAACACAGAAAGTACAATGTAATTTGTACCTTAACTCCCTTTAAAGTTAAGTATCATTTTCATGCAGGTGTTGAATTAATTGCCCACTGGTCTAAAGACAAAATGTTCTTGGTATTATTGGTTGCATTGTGATCTGATACAGTTTGTACATTGTCTCTGACTTCCAATGAAATGATTTTAACCTGATAACAGCTGTTTAATTAGGTGTCACATGACAAAAAAAACAACACCTCAAAAACCATAACAAGTGGGATTCATTGAACTCTGTCAATAGCAGCTGCTCTGATCGAGTTCCCAGGGATTATTTTGCTGTATCCCATTGATTTAAACCATAAAGTGACATCAGAAATCCCAACCTCTCTTGGGCTAGAAGTTTGAAACCTTGTGTCACTACCCAGTTATCCGAATCAGCCATTTGTGATGTGTGATTCTGCAATAAAATAATTTGTGCATTCCTACCCATAAGGGACTGCAAAACATTTTTTGCTCCATATTTTTGTTTGAAATAATCATACTCTGGTGAAACATGGTCTCTGGCGGATCTAGCAGTGAAGAAACAGCAACTGCTTCAAGGGTATCGATAACATAGTGAGAAGTTACAACATAACTGTTTCTAAATTCAATTAAAATAGCAATTTGGCGCAGTAGTATCATTGTATTTTTGCCGCTTTGAAGGATAAAGCATGACAGCTTGGGTGACTGTCTATTTGTGTGATAGGCGTGAGCTGGAGCCTGTTTTCACAGTGTGTTCTGGATAATGAATGGAGAAAAGGCATCATGTCAGCTCAAAGTATAGGGTGCCATTAGTCTATTGTGCATTATTATTACCTTATTTGGAGTGCATTTAAAAGCCAAGACAATACACGTTAAAGAAGAAAGTAGATTCATTAAACGACCTCGCAAGGGTATTAATACAAAATAGCCTGTGTTGCTGATAGGATCACTGCTCCTGTCCAAATCATATTAAAGTCAGGGAATGTGATGTTCTCAGGAATGAGAGAGAGGTGCGGTTATAACTGTGGCGATTTAGATATTAAAATGTATCACTCCGAATGTCCACTCCACAAGCAATGGCTGCAGGATGCAGTGTCGACCGCATAAGGCAGATGGATTGAATCATGGCACTGCTTTTCACTATCGGAGAGAGGGAGTCAGGGGACGCAAAGGCTAATTTTGTCAAAAATACCACTGATGTGTTTACAGGAAGCCCCGGTGGATTTGTTTACTTGGCAGGTTTTAGTGGAAATGATTCACCAAAAGCAGTCTGGGAAAAATCCCAAGGCGAGGGAGCAGCAGCGGGTAGTAAGTGACGATATGGGGCGCACTTCCTGCCATTTTGTTAACGTGCACAATTTACAGAGTTTGTCCCCCGGTCCAGCTCGTTTGAGGCCCCACAGGTAGCTGCTGAAGAGAGTGTAGCAGGCGGGCTACGTGGACAAAGAGGGTGGGCAACAGGGCCTGGGCTCATTATTTATTCAATGAGAAAAGAACCACCCCCCAGATGCTGCCTGTCATTCTGCAAGCACCTCATTCCTCCACCCCTGGCTACAGGCATCTATGGGCAGCACAAAACCACTAGCACTCTCTAGCCTTTAGGACCTGTACAGAATAAGAATCAGAATCCCTTTATTCACCAAGTACAAAAAGGTACACTGGATTTGTTTTGGTGTAGGTGGTGGCATGACGTAAACAATTAGACACGCAATCTCAACAAAAGTACAAAAAAACTACAAATTTAATAAAAGAAAAATTGATGTAGAAAAATAAAACCCAAAGAATAAATAAACATGTAGATATATAAATAAAGGAAGACAACCAAATGTAGGGTACAAACGGTTTGGGGTATGTGTAAATAAGCTTATAAAGAATATCAGTGCTGAATCAACAGGATAATCACCAGCTTCCTCTCATCAGCTTCCTGTCCAGTGCTGTGAACAGTGAACGTCGCGTCTCCACTGTTCTGTTCCTAATAGTCAGCCACTGTTAATCTGTGAAGTGCTGTTAATCTGTGAAGTTCAGTAACTAATCCCTCAGTTCTTACATATAGGTGAACTGTATTCAGTAGCAATCTTCAAGATTGTTCCACCTCTGATGCCAAGGTCATGTGGTGTGTACGTATATAATTTAGGTAATTATTAGAATTCCAGTTCTCTGTGTGACATGCATTTCAATTTGTTCTCACTGAAGCCCTCCCCCACCCCATCCCTAACCCCTCCCCCTGGACCACAGCAAAATTCACTGTCAAGTGTCACATGATCCTCTAGGCTCAACCCACAGGGCCTGTGAGATAATTGGCTGCGATGCACAATCAAACAGGCTTTCCCAATTAAAAACAAGAGCTAGACAGCAGCGGTATTAGCAGACCTGTTCGAGTTTCTCACTGAAGTGGACTCGGATAAGGGTAAATATGAGAGAATCAGGTGCTGATATCTGTCATCACCTGTCAGCTATCATCAGCCCTTTCGGTGTAACACAGCAGAAATTGTTTCCTGAGCCTTTTTTTAATAGCATGTTAGAACAAAAAAGGTTCAAATGCAATCTCTCCACACAGTTGATTGTTTAATGCCCTTACTAAAAAGTATATTAAGTTAACTGATATTAATTGGCTTCTTCAAATCATCAAAATGCAGCCAAATACTAAAATATATTTTCTGGGACATCCTCTTTGTGTTTCCATGCTAAGCATAGTTAAACTAACCTACATTAGATATATTAGACTTGTGAGTCTAAGCCGGGTAAGCAGTTATGGATGGATGGATGGATGGATGGATTAATAGTGAAGAATTGGATTGAGGGGTGAGATTAATTTGCCCTTCCTTATATGTGTGCTTCTCACTAACCTGTGCTCCAGGGGCACTGTAAAGGGTGGAAAGTTTGGATGATTCCAAGGGCCAAAGGAGTGACAGGGGCCTTGAAAAATTTGGCACATAATTGGATCGGTTTGGTTTGGGAGTCAAATATGGTACGCTTTCAGGGGACCCAAAATCTGTAGTGTTGCCCCTGCTCTGGTCACTCTGAACTCTATCAGAGGCTCCAGTCTTTCTCAGGCCCATTATAGGACAAAGACAGCTCTTGTTAAGGCTGCTAATGATGCACTGGTTCGGTGCTCCTTGACCTGAATGCCATATTTAAAACCGCAA